GCCATAGACTTTGCATGTAAACTGGCAGCTCCTGCCGCTCAAAACGCTCTCGGTGTGAACGAGCCATTAGACTTGGCAACAGTTTAGGTGTAGGAGAGGCAGGTAATTAAAAAACCTAAATTAAAAAAAATGAAAAGACTTTGGTATAAATGCTGTAAATCTTCCATCATCTTGACATAAAGGCAAACACCGTGCATTAGCAGACACATACCTTCCCTCTACACAGAAAAGCCATCAGCGAGCACCACTGCTCCTGTTTAGCGCCCCCTCCCACCACTGGAACCCTCTCGTGGGCCAGCAGGCTGACAAAGCGAGCAGCTTGTCGAGGGCTCTCCAGGAGGCGGCTGGCGCGAACGACACGCACGTATGAACACGCCACTCTGTTGACGCCGTTCTCATCCTGAGGAGCATGCAGACACAAACAGAACCGGTTTGAAACTGGGTGGGAGTGCAACTATTTCTCCTCAGCACCCTGTAAAATCCATCAACTGTATGAGAGTCAGCCGACAGAGAAAATGATGATGTTTGAAGAACTGTCTGATGTGAACACTTGTCTGTTCGAGGGAATTTAAAGCAAAAGAACTGCCTGCGTTGAGAGAAAGAAAACTCTCAAAACGAGATAAAACTAAGTGATGAAATGGTTTCTTTGTTCAAACCTGGGCAAAGATTTTGACCAGTTTGGACTGGTGAGACGGTCGGATCTCCAGGAACTCTCTCCACCACTGTTTGGCGTAAACCAGGAAGAGCCGCTCCTTCTCTGCCGTGCGTCGCCTCTCCAGTGATTTCTGAACAAGGAGCAAGAGGTCACGTCAGCGTTCATGTTTCTCTGAACAAGGAAGGACGGATTCTAACAGCAGTGATGGGTTTCTGTTACACACAGGAATAACGCACTGGCTGAAGAAAACAGCAGGTTTATCACAAACGATAAAAGATAAGCTTGACAGGGATGATTGAAACTTGGGCAAAATCATCAAATATTTGCTACTTTTCATTTAGTTTGAAAAGTGCCRACAGAAAGAGCAGTGGGAGGAAAGTTCTCATGTTTATTGGCTCAGCWGAGACGGAGTCAGTGGATCTGTTGTGCTGACCTGGGTGCTGATGATGTCAGAGTTCAAAGTTTCAGGAAGAGGAGGGTAGAGCTCCAGACTGACGGTCAAAACACCGGCTGGGACTTTGCACTCGCTTCCTGAAGAAACATAAATCCATCAGCAAAAACTGCTGCAAACTTCTTATACGATAAACAAAATGTAGAAGTTTTGTTTCCAGCAAAGAAACTCTTGTATTCACAGGAATTAATAAAAAGGACAAAAGAGTATTGCACTTTACTCCACTATATTTCACACTTTGTTACCTGATAAAACACCAACTGGGTATTAAAAAATATATTTTATTTACAAATATTAGAGAATAGATGGATTTGTCCTGATATAAACTGATGAACACTACAGAAAATATTTTCTACAAGTTCTCCATCTTTTATGAGTGAAAGCAAATCTTTAAAGTTAGACTGGAGACAAAAATATTTTAATTTGGAAATAATTGTGTTTTCTAGACTTGGTGCTGCTGCGAGTTTTAGGTGGTCCCTGCTTCAATGCACCACATTAATCCCAGCTGCTCTCATCATTAACTGCTGCAGTTTGAGAATATCAGCAGATTAAACTAATAATTCTGCCTCTTTTTTAGTTTACACTTTAAACCGCCAAAATAACTATCATCAGTGTATTTTGTTGCCATTTATACTGAAACATTAGACACAGCTTCAAATGTCTTTTAGGCATTTTAGAAGAGGGTTCGATTTGGTGCAGGATGTTTCACTCTGCAGGCTGTATTTTCATAAGAGAGTCGATTTGCCTCTGAAGTTAAACTGATTTCTCCTCTTCTCATTAATCAGAAASAGCGGCTGCATCACTGATCCTCACCAACTCCCATCAGCTCTACAGCAAAGCAGGTCTTGCTACTGGGTGAGCTGAGGACTCTCCTCCAGTCCAGGAAGTAGGAGGAGACCAGGGTCGTCTCACTGGAGGTGTCCGTCTTGATCAGCACAAAGTGGACTGGGTCACACATCGACAGCATGGTTGTAGAATCTAGCATCTTACTACCATCACCTGGAAAAGCCAGAGATAAACTCAAAGTATTACGCTCGGTACAGACRGTTGCATCACGACTGACTACAAGAGGGGTCTTACCAAGGCCCTCCTTGCAGATCTCTAGGAGGAAGCCCTCCTTCAGATCTGGTTCGCAGGCACAAGGCACTGGTTTTGAGCAAAACCTCTGGTTGCGGAAGTGCAGGTAAAGTGTAAACGTAGAGCACACCTGACCAGGTAAAGGCTCGGGCTCCTGAAGGTGCTCGAGAAAYGCCTTACCTCCAAGCACTTGGAGATACAAGTACCGCCTTGATGGATCGATATTTKCTTAGAAAGAAAAGAACAAACAACGCCATCACTTCAAATTCAATGCAAAGGAAAGATGCCACATTTTTTTACACCCGGGTTCGTAAAGCAGTGCCTCTTACTTTTCTTTAACTGAGTACAATCTTTGTTAACAAAATGAGTGGCTGACTTGGAAGGAGACACTGGTCCTGCATCTGTGGCCGTTTCCTGCCAGGACACGCAAAAGTGAGATAATTATTACCAACTTTAGGAGGTGCAAAGAAAGATTTCTGTCTGAAACATCTGCAAAGTACAAGGAAACCTTAGCAAAGTGGAGGTCTTTCATCACGTCATCTATGATGCCCCTGCGTTGAAGAGCGTGTAGGAAGTCTTCCTCAGACAATGATCGCTGCCCMGAGCCTTTATCTTCCCTTACAGTCTCAGACAGCACCTCTCGGATCTTCCCATGGATATCCATCTGACAAGCAGAAGAAACTATTTACCCATTTCTTTTTGGTTAAATGACAATATATTTACACAAGACAATACAAGTGGACCCGCCCCTGCGTACGAACATCTGTTAGGGGAAAAAAATAATAAACACTGTTAAATGGTGCAAGCACCACGTTTTAGTCAATATAATTAGCATGTCCCACACACATATTGCAGACTCATATAGCGTCACCTAGTATGAAACGTGTCGTTATCAGTAAACAGTAAAAATTACAGCTTATAAAGGGATAAATACTTACAATATACGGAAATAACAGTGACAGTTTTCTTACCTTGAGCAGATGGTTGTGTATTATCTGCTTCAACTCGGAAGCTTTCTCTGGAGGTAAACTCATTGGTCCTAGACAGGCAAGCTAGCAAAGGTGTACGGCTACAAACGCTAAATAACGTGTTTTATTCCTGTTAGTGAATAATACGTAATAAACAGGTGAATTTATCGTGCCCATTAAAACCAGTTTYCTTGTGTTGACCCTCACAAAAGCCAGTTTAAACTTTGGCGAAACAGTAAGCGGGAATTAGCCTCTGCTACTGCCTGATCAAAAATAAAATAAAATAAAATAAAAACGCAACGAAGAGGAAAAACAATTTTTTCTTTTTAAGATAAACAAAAATGTGACGTAATAAAAACCTTATTTTTTTGTAATAAGTTTTTGTGTTGCTGAAAAAAGTTTGAAAATGTAATCAGGATTCACAC